TCCAGACCTGTTTGAGTTTCATCAGTATTTCTGCTCTTGTGGACGTCAGTGTCTGCTCCAGCATTCTTCACATTATCTCCTTTTGTGTTCAACAGATAATAGTTTAGAAACTCTTGAGTGTGTGTGTGTGTGTGTGTGTGTGTGTGTGTGTGTGTGTGTGTGTGTGTGTGTGTGTGTGTGTGTGTGTGTTAAGCATTCTCAGGTTGCTCTCCATCTGCTCTGCTGTGTGTCTGACATCATGTCCATCTCTCCTGTTTCAGACCAACAGCTTTGGCCTTCTGACACGTCTGCAGAGTGTGTGTGAGTGTGTGTGTGTGTGTGTGTGTGTGTGTGTGTGTGTGTGTAAATGAGCGTCTCAGTGGACACACAGATGGACAGACACGCGCCGCTCATGACAATGGCCTCAGTGGGACCATCAGCTCCAGCACACACACACACACACACACACTCTGAACACATGCATTCATTTTTCTTCAGCTTAGTCCCTTTACTCATCAGGGGTCATCACAGTGGAATGAACCGCCAACTATTCCCTCATATGTTTTACACAGTGGGTGCCCTTCCAGCTGCAACCCAGTGCTGGGAAACACCCATACACTATTGCCAGTGTAGTTGATCAGTTCCCCTATAGCGCATGTGTTTGGACTGTGGGGGAAACCGGAGCACTCGGAGCAACACGGGGAGAACATGCAAACTCCACACAGAAACACCAACTGACCCAGCCAAGACTCAAACCAGAGACCTTCTTACTGTGAGGCAACAGTGCTTACCGTTGAGCCACCGTGCTGCCCCTGCTGACATATTTTTCTACATTTCTCTCTCTCTGACCCGCACAGCTCCTCTCAGTTCACTGTGTAGGTCAGTGTACCCCGCTGTGTGTGTGTGTGTGTGTGTGTGTGCGCAGAGATGGGTTGCAGCTGAAAGGGCATCCGCTGCGTAACACGTGCTGGATAAGTTGCCGGTTCATTCCGCTGTGGATTAAAAAAGGGACTAAGCCGAACAGAACGAGCATGAATGAATGTGAATGTGTGCACAAACTAATTAAAACAGGGGGAGGAGCCAAGCAGAGGCGTCCGTGACGTCATCAAAACAACCGGTTCTGCAGGCTGAGTAACTCGCGTTTCTTCTGTAATATCAGTTTGACATTAGCCGGATCCCTCAGTAATGTTTATAAGCGGTGTTAATAATGTTTAGGCTGACCCTACCATGGCGTTGGAGCAGTTGAGCAGGCAGAGCACCGACAGGATGAACCATCTCCTCCGGTACACCGTGAACCGGGCAGCGGCTTCTGCGGCGGGGTCAGGCCGGTCAGCAGCGCTCGAGCTCTGGATCAGCGGCTCGGTCTCCGCGCTTTCCCCCTCCATCATCCAGCAGGACGGGGGAATGTCCTGTTTAAAGCCCGAGCGCGGAGTCCATTAGCGTGCGGAGACGGTGCTGTTGGAGACGGCGCGCATGCCCACACTGAGGCTCCAGAGCCGGTGTGTGTGGAGCTTCAGTTCCGCGTCTAGAGGAGGGAGAGGCGGGGTCAGCTGTGGAGGACACGCCCATACTTCCCTCACACACTCCTGCTGCTACACCACACACTGCCACTGCCAATAACACTGATACTGTTAACAACACTGCTGTTACCATTGATAATACTGCTGTTAATACTGCTGTTACTGTTATTAATACTTCTCTCACTGTTAATAATACTGCTGTTACTGCTAATATTACTGTTATTAATACTGCTGTTACTATTAATAATACTGCTGTTACTGCTAATATGACTATTACTGCTAATCATACTGCTGTTACTGCTAATATTACCGTTAATAATACTGCTGCTGTTACTGTTAGTGATACTCCTCTTACTGTTAGTAATACTGCTGTTATGCTGCTGCTGTTTCTCCACATACTCCTGCTATTACTGTTTCTAGTTCAGCTGTTTCTGCTGCTTTTTCTCTTCACATCACTGCTGTTGACAGTACTGTTGTTTCTCCTCATGCTGCTGCTGTTTCTGCAAATCTGCATTTCAGATGTTGTCCAGTGTGAAGCCGGACCCTCCACTAATGCAGAGTCTCTGAAACACACATGAATATCTGATCATCATCTGTCAGAACCCACAGCACTGAAGCGCAGACTGATGAAGCGCCGGCGCAGACTTTACTCACTGCAGCTGATCACAGCACAGTTTAGGAGCAGTCTTATTCTCCTGCTCAGCTGTGTGTGTGTGTGTGTGTGTGTGTGTGTGTGTGTGTGCATGTGTTTGTTTATCTGCTGTTTCAGATCTATGCATATTCCTGTAATTTATACAATATGTAAACTGTGCATGAACTCCGGCTGACGTTACTCCTGCTGTTACTCAGGCACAGAGCCGCTGTGATTTCACCATCATCATCATCATCATCATCAGTAGGCCCAGACGCATCTGCAGACATCTTTTGCTCGTTCTGCAGAGAATTTTGTAGAAGATCTGCAGATTTATGCCGAACAATTTTGGGAGCTTCAAAACTAAAAACTTAATATAAGAATCAAAAATAACACCTTTTTACTTTTATTTATTGTTTACAATGCAAATCCAATGAGATCCAGTCATTTGGTCATCAAAGCAAGTCTCTCATGTAATATCTCCACTACAAGACAAACAAATATGACTAAACTCTATTGTAAATCAGTCAAATTCATTCATTCATTTACAGTGTGAGTGTGTATGGGTGTTTCCCAGTGATGGGTTGTGGCTGGAAGGGCATTCATTTACTTTTCGGTTTAGTCCCTTTATTAATGTGGGGTCGCCACAGCGGAATGAACCACCAACTTATCCAGCATATGCTTTACGCAGCGGA